AGACGGGCCAGTAGACGTCAGTAATGGTCAACCTACGTTGGATGGGTGTGAAGAAGCATGACTGCCAACCCTCAGTTAGGCTTGCAAAAGCCCTGAATGTGCACGTGTTTACTCCAGCAAAACTCTTCTTTTTAGCAGTGTTATTGTTTTCAATAGTGGAATATATTATTGCAGTAAGACAAGATAGAGTTTTCTGTCAGAGATGTATTTTCCATATTATGCGTATCTTGCTGATTTCTTACATATGTGTTTCCAAAGCGAGTGCAACCCTGTTTTGTTTTAAAAGCTTGGTGTGATATTGATGAGATCCTTTGTTGTGCTGTCTATTCAAAGAGCAGCTTCCGCTCTTCTCCCCCTTTTAAAAGAGGGAGGAGATGCACGTGCCCCCTCGTCTCACCAGCTCATTCACCAGTGTGGGAATGAAAAGTTTCTGGTCTGGCTACGAGACTATGGCTGTGATTGCTTGGGAGATCATGGGCTGACAGCGATGCTTCCCACTGCTGTGTGTCCATCTGCAAAAGTGATGATGTTTATCTGAGGTGCGGGCAGCAGCTGAACTGCAGGAGTGCTTAAGGGTGAAAGCGGCCCCTGAAAGCATGTCGGGATTTTTATATTATAAGGGGATTTGGATATTTATATTCTGTCATTCCAAGTATTCTGTGTTACTACAGTCAAATGCTAGAATAAAACAAAACACACTTTTTTCCTGCTTCTTCCTCGAGTACTTGGTATATAGTTTCATGATGTTTTCTTCTAGTGGCCTTGCTCATTTTTCTGTCTGCTATGTAAACAATCCACACAACGGGGGAGATGAGAATGAAAGCTTCAAAGTCGGTGTTTGAAGAAAATCTGATTCCTGCCATGAAAGACCTTGCTAAGAGTCTGCTTAAAATTAATTCTCTCTGTAAATAAGTGATTTCATGGTCTCGGATTTCTAACTGGTGCAAAGTGCTGTCTTGGTGTATGAAGAAGGCTCTCCTCCCCATTTTTGCAAAACAATTATCTATGTATCTTGTCAAAGTGGGATTGGAAAGGCGCAGGATGGAACACCCTACAACTAGAGGGAGAGTATAGTTTTGAGAATTGCTTGCCTTTTTTTGTTTGTTTTGAAGATCTTGACTTGACTTGTGTATTTCCTTACCTAAAACAAATTTTAGTGCTGGACTGAGCTGATGCTCATTTGAAATGTCCAGTGCATCAGGCCCGTGGATGAGATCTGCTGTTGGACCTCGGAGCTGTTGTTGTCACTGTCCCCAGAGAGAAACTAACTGAGCTTGATAGATTTTCTTGATCCTAAGTGAAACTCTCCTTCTAGTTGGGAAGAAGTCTTCTCTGTTGGGACAAGTCCGTGACCTATTTTAGAGAGTCTTGTCTGTACAGAGTGGTTGGTGTTTTCTTAGAACAAGAAGCCATTTTCCAGGAGCTCCTCCTTTGTTTTATTTCAATCATTTAGTTCTTTTAACTGTAAAATAACAGAATCTGAAGGAGAGGAGGCTGAAGCTCTCTATTTTGTATTTGTGAGTAAGGAATGGCAGAGGAAAATGATCTGATGACAAAAAGAAAACTATTAAGTAATTTAAAAACTTCCAGCTGCTATAGTAACAGCAACACATTTGCCAGATGTCAACGAGCATATTTTAATCCTCCTATTTTAAGTTTCAAGCTATTGAAGAAAAGCATACCTAGGTGTGGCAGTCTTAATAGCTGCTTCAGGCCATAGCTACTTGGGTAGCCTAGGAAAGGACCGTGTAGTATTGCTGTTGGAAGGACTGTTGATTAAATTTATAGAAAAAGCTTTTCCCAGATGTTCTTATGGGGCAGGAGCCCATCCTGAAGATTTGTGTTTCTCTCCGAGACACTTTTATGATGTCCTGTTGGGTATACGGCGCGTGCTCTTCTGTGTGTTAGATTGATTTGAGGTACTGTGTCATTTTTCTTGGAAGGTGTATGAGCCAAAAAAGTAGAATGAGAAAGTTTCAGAGACTGGGCTTTCTGCCTAATACCAATTCCGTGTGGCTGTGCTGGTCCGTACGGCCGGGACGCGTACTAGAGAGCGGGAGTAAGATGTCCACAGAATTGTCCTGTCCCCTGTTGACACTGACTGTAAATGTGTTTGAGCTGAAGTGATAGATGTAGGGTGGAAGAGACTGTTTTTCTAGTTAAACATTTTAAACTGTCAGAGGAGGTGAAAAATGTGTTGTACTCTTTCCTGTGGCCTTTTCCTCCAAAGAGTCTGTCATGCAAGAAAGGGAGGGAAAATGTGCCCGGCCTGGATCAAGCCCTTAGCTTTTCCGTGTTCGTTTGTTTTTATTGTAAGATAAACCTTTCATGTTTTATTGTTATGAAGTTAAAGCCTGGCCTAGAGGTGCTGATCTTTAGTAGAAACAGCTGCAGACCTAGTGTCCCCTGGTCAGGTGGGAGGCTCTTTGAAGCAACATGTTGCCTCTTTAAAAGGAAATTGAGCATGTGAGAACTTAAACCTGTAAAACTCATCAACAGCTCTGCCATTGTTTATCTCTGGTGTAACTTTATATAGAATTAAAGTGAAACGCATTACTTCACTTCCAAGGCAAGATGGTTTAGCTCCCCCTTGGTCCTGGAGACACAGGAAATGACCACAGAACCACAAATACTTTCTAGTGGAATGAAGATGAGTGACAAACTATCCACAGAAATAGATTCTTAACCAGATGGGCTAAGACATTAAATGTAGCTAAAGCTTCTGGTTTTAAGTTAAAACCAATGCTTAAATGTTAAAACCAAGTAGGAAAGAGCAAATGCTGTGTGTGCGCTGACTGGCGTGAGGGGGCAGATCTGAGCATTTTGTGTTGACTGGGTGTTGCGACCAGCAACAGTTTTCAGCATAGACTGTAGGCTATGGACTACAGGAATGAACCGAACTGCCTTTGGGATGAGAGAAGCTAAGGTACTTTTTTGGCTTTGTTTCTCAAGTTGCCTTCTTGTACAGAGAACAAAAAAAACATTAGCCGTCAGATCTCCTCCTTTACTTCTGTGTAGCATTTTCATTACTTAAAGCAACGCCTTAGGTATCTTACCATCGTATTTTTAAAGTAGTTAGCCACTGTAGTGCCCTTCCTGCTGGAACAGGGTGCAGTGATAGCCTCTAAAAGTGACACTGTACATCTTTGTAAAAGAAGAATCCCTTCCCTAGAACCAGGTTTATCACTGCTTCAGAAAAAAGCTTTCTTAGGAGAGACCATTCTGTCTTAACAAGTCAGTCGTGCTGGACCACATCTGCTTAACAGTGGTGTTGGGTGTTAGCGTGGGGGAAGACCTAGGTTTTGTTTTGGGTTTAGCCTGAATTGCAGTTGGCAGAAATAATAAATTTTTCACCTTTTAAGTGTATGCTGTAGCTTCTGCCGTGGCCAACAGGAAGAAGCATTGATGGCATCTGTGTGGAGCCCTTACAAACGGGGGTGTAATGTGAGAGAGCATCTGAAGGAGGTGAAGAGAATACAAGATAATGATTTTTTTCTGGATGTAAATGGAAAGAAACTGTATTAACTATAGCTGCTTCCTTAGTGCAGACTTTTCTTAAGAAAGTAAACAGTTCACCACCACACTGGTGAGAAGAATTTGAGTTTGACTGGTAACATGGAAAATGTGTGATATTAGAAACTGCCTGGGCTCTGCATCGAGATGATGCAGAATTTGTCATCCTGTAAATAATTTCTCATTGATTAGCTAAACTGTTTGGATTGGCAGAGGGGATCTTTTCGTGGACAGGAAGTGTAGGACCAGTGTCACTCACTGCCTGACAGGCCTTCGGAACCGGACAGTTCAAACAACGCCTGGTGCTGTCTGAACGGAAGGTAATTACCCTTAGAAAGTCCTTTTCAGAGCTACAGTATAACAGCCCAAACCAAAAAGGCAGCGTAACTACGTATTGTAGGAAAAGACTGGCAGAGGGAGTCAGGTCAGAGGGCCAAACAGTTGTCCGTTGGATGAATTCTTGAAGATAGTAATTATCCTTAATAGCATAAACATTCTGTGAGAGCCAACGCCAGCTGTTTTATAGCAAAGGTACAGAAGGAAGGCTCTACTTGGGGAGGGGGAGTGGAGGAATTAGCACGGATGAACTGCTGCTCTTAGTAATGCATGATGTGTCTTCCGGTGTGCGTATAAATGCTGGTCACAGACACGGGATGAGGAGTTAGCTGTTTATACGAGATGCTCCAAGTAGTGTATCTCTTACTGTCTGAAATGCACAAAAAGCCTGAAGCTCTGACCAGACATCTGAGGAACTGAGACTTTCCCTTAGCTGTGCAAATGATTAGAGTGAAAACCTGACCTTCTGCAAAATGCTGCGTTTCTAAAATGTCTGGGGGAGTTATGTCAGGACCACTTGGCAGGCGGTCAAAGTTCTTCCCAGCAGTTGCATGTTTTGTAAGCCTAGTCTGAAGTTGTAATGACCTGGTAAAGTAGTTACCTCTGGCACAATTGAAAATCTGTAGAAAAAACGAAACGAGATATCAAAAGCAACTCTGCTTTCAGCTCTCAGAAAATACTGGTAGTGAAGTGAGTAAACTTAAGGGGGTTTGCTTAGATCATCTGTTCAGTCATCTCGGTTCTAATATTTGAGGGTTTTTTAATCAATGAAAAACGTGGGGTGCTAGGAGGTGCAGTAAGTATTGTTTCAATAATCTGTGCCTCAATAGGAACTACCATTAGTATACTTTTTGCAAGGAAAAAGGTTTAAAGAGCAGAAGGAAACTTTAAAAAAAAAAAAAAAAAAGGAACGTGCTCCTGTATGCCAAGCGGTGGTATTGTTCTGGACTCAACCCACTTAGTAATGTATTCAACAGGAGCTTAAATAAGGTTCACATGCTTTTAGGACTATTTAAAAAAAGTATGTCTTTGAATTAATAGGACTTGTTATACTTCAGTTGGATTTCTTGTATTGAAAGGAGAGAATTGAAACCCATAACAGGATGTGTTTACTGCAAAATAAACCTGTTAGGTATTGTTTTAATGAGCATATGCGTGAGTGATTTTTTTTTTCTTTTCATTTTTTAAACTTTTGTACTTCTGCACCTTATCTAAAATTGTTGTCTTTAGGGGATATAGTTAAAGGTAGAATTTGCCCACTGAGCTCCAAGTTTTCACTGTTATATTTATTGAGTCATGAGAAGAGTTTTGCAGACTTGCCTGACTTCTTGCGAAAAATCATAAGCACACCTTCCAAGTAAAGCAAAAATTATTTTTAAATATGCCAGCCGAGTGTTTTAATGGTGCTGGATAAATTTTTTTCAACTGCTGCAGTTATTTCTATATATAGTATAAGGATGTGAAAAGTCATTCATTCCTAATGTGTTTAAATATGCTCCATAATGAATGTTGTGGATGTGAAAGATAAGCAGCCTGGAGCTTTCTTTTGCAAGGTATAGGGTAACACAAAGCATCAAAGTTTTTCTGCCCTCAGGACACACATTGAAGTAGTTAAAGTAGTGAGATAAACGAAATACAATAAGATATTCATCTGCAAAAATCTAAAGCTCAAGGACACAATAAGTTTTCATTTAAGTGTTTCTCATTTGCTGACAATGAGCCAAATAAATCTTAATTCCACATTGTAGATGGTGACAGAAATTCCGTAACTTTCCCTGGGATGACAGTCTGGTTTGTTTCCCAAATCTTTCTGGTAATGTCCTTGTATCTGTTGGGATTCTAATCTGAATTAGCTGCTTACAGTTACTTAAGAAAGCAAGAATTATTTTTTTCAGAATTGCTATTTAAGAACATTTGTGTTTGGCCTGCTGAGATAACATGTAGTCTGATATGCCTGAGAATTACTGTAAAGAACTAAATCATTTTCCATGACATTGCATTATCTTTGTCCTCACTCACTGCATTTCTTTTTACAGGTGCTGGATTTGCATTAGGAATTGTTTTCTCAGTCATCTTCTTCAAAAGTAAGTGTATTGCAGTAATCTTGACTGCCTGGTCTCCTCATTTCTGTCTATTGTAGGTGCAGTTTAAAACCAAGAAATCTTTGAGGCGTGTAAAACTTAATCAGCATGTTAGACCAATTCTTTCATTTTTGGTCGTGTCTTTTCAGTTGAAATGGAGTTACGTAAACTTTCAACTGTTGTGTAACAAGGTTGTTACACGCGGCATCTCTCGAAGCTCCTACTGTGCTCAACTGAAATTTTGGAATTGTAGGAAACCTTGAGCCAAATTACTGGAGCTATGTGTCCAGGCATTGGTTTGCCAGGGTTTTAAAACTGGTCTAAATTCTTTTTTAGTTGTTTTTTGGTAACAGAATAATTTTCAGTAATATCTTGAATTTGGAGATTACTCTCCATTAAATTCTAAGTATGATATCTTACTGTTACTCTTGTCGTTCTTCCAAAATGGTCTGTTTTTTAGCTGATCTTAGGACTTGTAGGACTTGAAAATGCCTAATATGCATCTTCCAGTAATTTATTGTTTCTTGGTGTGTATTTAACAATCCTATCACTGTCACGTGAAATGAACAGCTTTTCTTGACTTTAACTTTTCCTCTCGGCTTGCCTTCCCCCACAGGAAAGACATGGCCTATCGCTTTTGGGTCAGGGATGGGGTTAGGAATGGCTTATTCCAATTGTCAACATGACTTCCAGTCTCCGTATCTTCTCCATGGTAAATTTGTAAAAGTAAGTATCAGTGTTAGTTACGATCAATTGGTAACTGTTATAAGTTAGCATTAAACAGTACACCTAGACACCATTTAAATGGATATTCCTCTGCCTTTCCCAGAAGAGCGCTAGTAAGAAGAAACTTGTGTTGCCGAAGCGGGGGTGGTTCCCCTGCTCTTCAGAAATTTTTAATGGCTGGTGTGTTTAGCAGTAAACTTACTAGACTGACTACACAGAAGTAGTTTAACAGATCCTGCAGGTAGGTTTTCCCACAACCTGAAAACACAGATCGTAAAAATACATTTTAGAAAAGCTAAAAAAATAAACTAATGGTAAGATTCTGTCTTCAGACTTTGAAAGAGGTGAACTAGGAAGGGCATGTCAGGCAGCTCTGCCTGTGGCAGCAGATCTTTGATCTTCTGTGGGGTTTTTTTTGCAACATAAAAACACTAATGACTTGTAAGTTTTGTGGCTTGTTTGGCTGGATAGTGATGTAATAATTAATCTGAAGAAATTGTACACTTTAAATAGTTTTGAAGATCATATTTTAAACGCGTTCAGTATTATCACTGACTGTGTTGAGATAGAAATATTTAAAAGTAGATTAATTAGCAGGAACCATTTGTGTGCTTGCAAACTGCCTATATAGCACACTAAGTCCACAAACTGACCGTTTGTGTGCTTGCAAACTGCCTATATAGTCCACAAACTGACCACATTAACATTTTGTTTATTTCTTCTCATGTAAAAGTTGGGGCTGTTCTTATGGTAATTTACCATTGAGGTATCTCAATAAAAAGAGGGGGGGGTGTGTGTGTATTTCAGATCCACAGAGCCATATACAGCCAAAAGCCTTTCACTGAGACCCGTGGAGAGGCATCCACCAGGACATATTTGTAGTTATTTTAGCACTTCAGAAAGTACTGAGGTAAAATGTTCTGCCAGGAGCTTTTCGTGGCAAGTACACAGAATGCAAAAATTGCCCCTGTGTTGCTCGTCTGCCTAATGAAGGAGGTCTGAAGGTGGATTTAGGCTTTTTTCTGGTGCATCTAGAGCTGAAAGTTGAGTCCAGTCCTCTTTAGGTTTACTGGCGGACGAACTTTTGCCAGCCTTCTGCAGCCTTACCAGTCATACCTGTTTACAAATACTATCTTCAACTGTCTGTAAAGAAAGGGAAACAATAACAAGATTCTTGAACAGCTTCTTCAGGATAAAATATTTTGGATATTTGGATATATTATAGAGAAACTGTGACTTAAGATGCAGCTGATACAACATTGCCAGCTATGGCCCAGATTCAGAAGTCAGTGCATGACTCTTCTGCCCAGATTTGTTAACATCAAAACATAGGCGCTTTCCACACCGTCTTGAGGGTATTCCTCCAATTTACGTCTCCAAAAAGAAACTGGAATGACATGTCTGTGGCTTCATGTGAATGGTAAATGCTCTGTTCACGTGTTCTGAAAGCACATTATTCATTCAAGGATGCTTGTTACTAGGGGTTTTGGGCAATGGAAAACTGACTTTCAGGTCAGCCTAGTAAGGGATTTTGTTTGGATTAAGGACTAATCTGTGCTCTGGAGCAAGGGTGGTCCTTTGAAGCATGAGGTAATTGAAAGGACACTTCACAGAAGAAGCGCAGCTGTCTGCATGGCACTAGACTAGACAAATAGTTTCCAGTGCACTGTCTCCACTAGCTTTCTCTGGCATGAAGAGGCTGAACATGCTGAGAGAGGAAAGATGTGGATGAAGCCATCTAATGGTTAATGTCATTAATCCTCTCCAAAATGTCGTGTCATGGATAATGGCTCCAGGGTTATTACAACAAAATTATTCCATTTCTGTTGGTTAGGAGCATGGAAAATATTGTTGCATTATCACTCATCTGTTTTTTTCCTAGAAAATACTAAACTCTATAGGACTTCCTTTACAAAACAGTTTCTGTTCAAATGCTAACTTGTCAAAATGTGAGATTCTGCAAGAAAAACAGCTTTATTAAGAGAGAGAAAGAAGTGTAACATGGATTAACTTGAACAAAATTATTTCTAGTTTTCCAAACCTGTCAAGTTCATAGGATCACAGGATAATTCAAGTTGGAAAGTACTTCAAGGAGGTCAACTCGTCTGACCTCAAACTGGGTTTGGCTGTGAGGTCAGACCAGGTTACGCAGGGCTTCATCGAGTCTGGATTCTTGATTCTTCAGGATCAAGTCCTTAATTCTGAATCCTACGTGAGAATGAGAGAGGGCAGAGGACATTCACGATACCAAATAATCAGGAGATTACTAAACAACTTTGCAGCTGTTGTAGCTGTAACTTGGATCATCACGCTGCCCATCCTTTGGGTTAGTAAGTTGATCATGAAACACTAACACCAATGCAAGAGCCATTCATCTAAGCCAAGAGACTACTTAAAGCGCAGAAAAGTTCTCATATGTGGTCGTAAGATTCTGAGGGCTTTTAAAGTAATTTGATCAAGTGGGTGTCACTGTGACTTCAGCTGAATTTAAAATCAGCATCTAGCAATTATTTCAAAGGCTTAAAACAGTATAGCTGAGAATGACATGACCTAAGGTTTACTTGCAAAATGGAAAAGAATCGCATTTTTCAGGTTATTTAGCCTGTATTATTTATCACCCCAAAACCCGCAACCTTGTACTTTGATTGCAATGTGGATTATATTGATGTGCAACAACACAAGAAGTTTGACAACTGGAGCCTTTCCTCCTGCCCTTTGTGGCTTTGATTTCTATTTGATTTCTATTCAATCTGTGAATAGTTAACTTGAACGATAATGTTGGGTTTTTTTGAAGTACCTGTTTTATCAGAACAGAGGCGTATATGCATGAAAACATGGCATGCTTCTGGTATGAAAATAGCTGCTTAACTTCTCCGTACTCAACTTCTCAGTCTAGTGAAGGATGAAAACGTTAGCCTACCTTCTGGAAATGTTACAAGGCTAAGTGGCTTGCTTTACATCATGCAGCACCTTCCATGTAAGGAACCCAAATGGCTTTTTAATAATATAAGCCTTCTTGCTTTACAGGAACAGTGACTAATGACTAAGACTATCCCAGTGGGAAGGAAGGAGAAATCAATGATTATTCCTCAGGAATACTGAAGTGCCCCTGGAATAAGCCAACATTCTTCAGTAACGATCACCACTAACTCTTTATACTCCAACAAACTGTTTCTGTACATGAAACAAAGTTCTGTTGCTTGTTTTGTATCGTGTCTGGAAAGTGCAAGGAAGAGCTCTTCTGGGAAATAAATAAAAGAAAAATGGCCTTCTCTGGTGTGTTGACTTTGTATGTGAGTGAGAGAGAGAGAGAGAGAATGGAAGGAGAGGACTTCATTTTGAGTACCTAGCAGCTGTGACCACCTGGGTAAAAGCCACTGTGAGAGCTCTTCAGAAAAGACAGCCGTTGTGTGTTCCTCTCCACTCTTGAAAGGCAACTCCCCTCTAACGTAGAGTTCAAAGAAGCATTCCCACCTCATAAATCATCCACTAGACCCCTGCTGCTTGTGCCGGTGTTTGGAGTGGAATATAAATACTCCTGTGTCCTGTTTGTACAGTTGCCCTTTAAAGTTGGAATTTTGTCCTCTCCAAAGAGGTAGAATCCAAAAGGGCAAATCCTGTGTGACTGATGCAGCAAGCCAGTGCTGTCTCTTGTAGCTTTGAGTCATGGAGTGACCGAGGTTTGAAACTTCCTCGGTATAGTGGGTGAATTAAACAGATGCACATGCCATCTGGCTCTGAGCTTACCTTTTAGGTTGATTGTTTTTTCACCCCTCTTCTGTGGGAGAACATATGGGTTTCACTGTCTGGGAATGGGTCACAAATATTTAAAGCTCTTTATTACCTTGGCAAGTCACTGGTCCAAGTACTCCCTTCTACTTTACATTTATCCCAGTCCTTGTAATTACTTGTTGGCATGTTGTCTACTGCTCTTCTCCTGACTTGAGAGGTCGTCTTCACCGCTTCTTTACTCGGCGCAATTTTCTAGCTATTGAGATGGCTCTCAAGGACCTCTTTACTTTCACCGATGTTCACTGCATGATGTCCACATAGCACGAGATGTAAATGCATGTCTCCCAAGACAGAAAGGGAATGGTATAGATTGATATGGGGCTTTCCTTTATTGAAAGCCCGTTCTGCTGCATGGTGAGTGCTGGCAGATGGAGAAGTGACAAAAAAGTTCCTCTCCAGAAAGGAAAACACAATGGAAAACAAGTTGCGCAATATTTGTTTTTTAAGCCATGCCAAAAAAGGAAGGGGATGGATTGAGGGGCAGTCTTCTGAGTTCGGAGAGCTTGAGAAGCTCCTTATCTTACTGAGCAACGGGACTGAGATTTGGTCTGGGTACTACAGCAGTCCTGCACCCCCACATCCCCCTGGCACTTGCGTGTCGATCTTGCACGCTGAAGAAACATGTTGAGCTGTGCCCAGAGTCAACAGAAGCTGAGGAGCTTGCCTAGAGCAATGGACTTGTGAAATAAAATAGCTTCAATGCCAGAGCAGCATTACAGACTGTCAAAGCATGATACCATCCAGGACCATTGCTTGAGCATGTCCTTGTTTTTCCACCTCCTCCCTTGCCGGACTACATTCATCAGTTAGGTCAAAACAGCTTATTGGAAACAGGATCTCTTTCTTTCTTCCCAATTTTGAATCATTTTATCTGGCCCCAATTTTTAATTTGAACTATGTACTTTGGAGCCATAGCTCCTCTGTGGTTTGGAAAGTGTTTTTATTGAGTTCTGTGTGTGTGTGCGTGCGCTGCGATGCTAGCAGTCTGGTAAGCCAGTGGGTTCAGCTGGAGAGAAGAGCATCGACCTGGGTAAGGAAGAGGAGAACCAAAAACGGTAGCAACGCTCTGAATATAATGACTGTCAACATGCAGAAAAAGCTTTAGCTAGGGCTGTGTCATATGGGACGTGATGATGGGTTCTGTTTTTATTTGGAGTCCCTAGTAATGGGTTGTCCTGCCCTGGTATGCTCTGCTTTAGTTCAAATATGACTTCGTAGAGTTAATTCTTACTTAATAGGATCTACTGTGACCCGTGATCAAGTGGTTCTTCTGGCCCTGGAACTCGGAGGATAGTTGTAGATATTGATTCACAATGTGTCCGTTATTGGTAGAGTGTGAATAAGCAGAACAAATATTCTTGCTCATTAATATGAAACCCACTAGGGTGAGTGGGGAAAAATTGCACAATTTAAAAAGCGGAATTTAGAATTTTTCATTGCTCTTTAAACGGTATAAGAACTTATTTTTTTTGTTTTTCACAGCTGCCTTGTTGTATTGAGTTATGTATATGCATATATAGCTAGCGCATAATTGGCCTGTATTTATTTTGGTTTAATTATAAGTTGTATTATTCAAAAACTACTTTTGAACCTGTCCATGTAAGCTGTGCAAAATGTCTCCTTGTGAGGACAGCTCTCCTGTTTCCCTCAATGGGAACGAGACCATACTGTTCCCAACTGAGGTTGGAATAGGAACGGTTTCCTGCTGCTTGATTTCTAATTACATAAATGGAAGGGGGAAAAGTGGAAATTCTAAGTACCAAAAGGCATGTTAAATTTAGTATAATACACTCATCTGGAAACTATCACATTTTTCCTTCTTTCTTAAGCCTGCTGAAATCATTGCTTCGTCTAACTGTAGCGTGATTTGGATCAGTACCAAAAAGTGCAAACAAGATAGGCCTAAAAAAGGCAGGTGTCCTTACCCAAAACTTAATGAGACCTTTTAATGGAGAAGTTGCTGTATCACCCTGATGCCATTTTAATAGGAAAATGGTGAGTATACAGTGAGTAAAGAAACCATATCACTCTGTACGAGAAGGGAAAAAAAAAAAGGAGAAGCTGTTTGCTGAATAGAACTGGGTTTGAACGTTTAACTACTCCCTAAGTGCTTGACTGGCCACAAATCTGACTCTTAACATCTTGATTAGACGTCTGCTGAGGCTTTGAGATGAATAAACAAGTTATGGAAAAGCAGAGACTGCAGGAAAAAAAAATATCAAGCTGCTTTTCTATTGTTTATCCGAGTTCTTCATGTTTGATCAAGATACTGTCATTTCTTTGTATTTCAATCATGCCTAGGAGCCTTAGCCAAGATCAGGACCTTGCTGTATGTGGTGCTGTACGCACAAATAAAACCCAGTCTCTGCCCTGGAGAATTTACAAACTAAACAGATGGGATTAAGGGAGGTAGAAAGGTTTATAGTTCCCATTTTAAAGATGGGAGAAGCTGTGGCCAAGGTCAGTGATAAGTCTTGGAGGGAATGTGGCATGCAGCTGGGGCTCTAATTTGAGCCTTGAGCCATTGACTCAATCAGCCGTCCTTTCTGACTGTTTTTTCACTTGGCAGGTCGTGGAGTCTCAGGGGAAGGCTGCCCACTTCATAGCCTGAGAGACTCCAGAAGGGTATGTTCTGACACCATTTGCTATCCTCAAATTGCCCCAAATTCTTGATGGCAAATCTCTGCTAAGTTAGAAATTCTGTTTTGTTGTCCAGCAGGTGATCACTTATAGAATCACTAATAGGTGTAAAACACAGAGCCTCAATATTGACTTTGGTGTAAATCTGAATTTGATAAGGAGAGAAAACATTGACATTTATTACTTTGTATCTCATGGAATAGGACACCTCTGTGTCAGGTATAACATAACACCAGAAGATGGTCACTGCCTTAGTAGATCTACCTTAAATATGAACTTAGGTAACAGATTGAGATAGAGGGAAGATATCGATGTCGTTCCAGTAGTGGAAACACAGCAGTGACGGTGTAACTCAACTCTTCCAGGGGGTTCACATGGATGATTCTCCAAAGGAGAAGGAATTGGTTTTCCAGATGTTTTTATTGGGTTTCCTCCGAGTTTTTGGAGCAGTGCAAAAGAAATCACAAAGATGCTTGTTTGCAAAGGCAAGCAGCGGGCGCGTGAGTAGCCTGAAGGAGACTGTGGTTGTGGTAGTGACCTACCACAAGGTATAGCTCTCATGCTTTCGCTAGAAGAGAGAGGTGGCAGAGCTGGAGAACACGTGATCAATGACCTGCTAGAAAAAACACTTTTTTTTCCGCAGTGTTCTGAATCAGCGAAGCATTGCTGACCCTTTTGCTCTGAGCTGGCTGGGTTTTGTTGCTTTTCCCCCCTACCACACACATCCCGACAGTAAGAAATAAACAAACTTTTTCCTTGTCTCCCACCCCTCCCCTGCCTTTGTAAGTGGGACCGGTGCAAATTTTGGCACGCCAGCTCCAGTAGGCAGCTGTATGCAATGCGTACTGTCTCTTAACTGCTCTGAGAGTCCAGCCTATAGCCCACCCACAGTGAAATGCTTAACTGGGATTGAAACTAAATGGGAACATAGCTTATGGAAATTCAGCTGTGGATCGCTCTTTCTCCTGTGACTTCTGGCTGTCAGCACTTAGCCGTGCAGCACTGCTAGCTATTTAGAGCTGGATGTTCCTCGTGGTGGTGGATACCCACCTCCTGTAGTTTATAAAGATGCCGAGAAAGATGTTGATGACTAATAAATCACTCTTCATCTATAGTCTTTATTGGTAATGCTTGTAAAGACTCCTGCCCTGGGTTAGGAGTGTATGCCCCTTCCTAGAAAAGGTCATGCCCTTATCAGTTGAAATTCAGTTCATAAATCTCCTGTTGTATGAAGAAGTGTGTTTCTTTTTAGAAGTTTTGGAGGGTATTCTTCCTCCCCCTCGGTGCTGCACTTGAAGTTGTTAGTAGTGACGAACAGCTTAACCCAAACCCGTTACTAATCCCATGAACCATGTATTCCCTGAGGATTTAGGAGTCCGGTTGTGATAGACAGCACCTCAGTTTTCTCCCCTGTAAAATGGAAATGACGATACTGTCTCCACTTGGTCATGGCTTTAAGATCTATTTTATTCCTGAGTAAGAGTCAGCTCTGTACAGTCAATATAGTGTTTATTGCGGGACCCCACACTTCACTACCCATCTGCACTGGATTGAGTCGCACTCCACGGTTCGCAAAATACTTTGGCTTCTGTTTGTTGAAGTTGCTGGAAGAACAAGGTAAAGGTGTGCTGTGGAAGATGAGTGTTTCAAACAAGGTAAAGGTGTGCTGTGGAGGGGGAGTGTTTCTGTGCTTTCTTATCCACCCTTTCATGTCTTCCAGTCACCTGGTGCTCTGTCACCAAACCCCTGCGCCTTCTCTCCAGGACAATGCGCTGTCGCGCAGCGCAGTAAAGGAGACAGAGCTGTCGTTATCAATGGAGTAAGGGGAAAAGAGGCTTAGGC